AAGTAGATCGCCCAACCTTCCTTCTGAGGAGTGGCTGGTGGGTTTGAACTGCCAGCCTTCTGGTTAGCAGTCAAATGCCTTAGGCACTATGCCACCAGATCTCCCAAGCCTGGCTTATATGTATCAATGTACCTACAAGGCTAAAACGCTATACTAATTTACTTTTTGAATCTTCTAATATGCTCCGCTCAGAGCTGACATTATGACTCAATTACAACAACACTTCTAATCATGGTTTTGGCTTCCGTGCTGCAAGCAGCAAATGGTTTTCATTTCTGCCGATGTTTTTATAGTTGCTGATCTTCTCAAATGTTCTGATTTTTAGCTACAATATTATGGTAATTAGTATTTGGGAACCTATATCAATTTCTTTTTTGAGAATATAGTAATTAAAGGAAAAGGAGAAAACTAAAAAAAAAAGAGCCTTCTGCTCAGTTATTAATAATATTGGAACTAATATTGTAATTCAATGTGGAGTTTACAAAACAGTTTTGTTGTCAGTATTCAGATAATCTAAGAAATACTACATTTGAACAATATACAACTATATTTGTCACATTTTATTCTATGATTAAAATTGATATTAAACATTACTAAGGATTCTGTATGGTCTGGTAAGGGAGGAAGTCCATGGGGGGGACACGCAAACCATGTGTCACCACACTGGGTGACTCCGACCTTAGTGACACCACTGTATCTAATCTCCTGCTGCTGTCTCCTATTGGGATTACAGCCTTGGGAAACGCTAGGGAGCAGTGCTACCCCATCACAGGGTCACTATGAGTTGGAAATCACTCACCCCCAATCAGTATGCATATTCCAAGGAGTGGAAGGTCTATATGTTGCCTCAGATTCTCAAAAGCATCACAGACCCTATGGCTAGGAATGTCTCTCATGGCTAGGAACTGAATGATAGCTGGTTTCCCCTTAAAAATTTCCCACTTTGTGGGAGTGTACCCAAGAACATGTATAGGGTTGGCAGACAATGGTCCTACACGTTTTTGTGTATGATCTGAATTCCCAGGTGTATAGTAGAGCCGACAAGAGGCAAGGTGGCAGTCACTGCTTGGTCACAGCCAGTTACCCAGAGGGACCAAATAGTTGAACCTATGGGCTGGGGACCATAGTTGCAGGGGGACATCAAGCTCAATTGGCATAACATACTACACAAAACATTATTTCACCTTCTACTTTGGCAAGTAGTGACTGGGATCTTAAAAAGCTTGCAAGCTGCCATCTAGATGCAACGATGGGTCTCTCCTCATCCGGAGCAAAGAAGAATGAAGAAAACCAAAATTCATGGAAATCAGTCCTAGCAACTGGCACACCATCCAATCTGCAGCCTATATGACTATGAGACCAGAAGAACTAGATGGTGCCTGGCTACCAATGTCAACCACTTGGAAGGGGATCTGTGTA